CTTCGCCTTCCCGCTCCCCGCTGGCGCGTCGGCCGCGGCCACGGCGGCGGCGGCGGTGGCGTCCGCTTCGGCGGCGGCGGCGGCCGCGGCGTCGGCCTTCGCCGGCTCCTCCGCCGACTCCTACAGCGGCGGCGACCTCTCCTCGCTCTCCGCGTCGCTCGTCTCCAGCGACGGGTCAGTACGCGCTTTTGCACGCGCTTACTATACGTCTTAGGGTTCAATAAAGACTTTCTGTGTTTATTTTCTGTGGTTAAGGAAAGTAATTTGTTGTGCAAGATGATAGAGATTCCTTATCTTTGAGATTAAGTGTTTCTCGTGTTGGTATGACAATTTTATCACCGTGTGTAATATTTGATTTGTTTTATTCCGTTTCTTTGAGTAAAATACAACGCTTAAAACAGAAATGTCTTGTTAGGTAACGTCTGGTTAAATTGTTACCAGCACCAACACAAGACTCCCCCGTGAGTAGTTAAGTCTTTATCCGTAGGAGCCGATACAGAAGTTCTTAAGCAGCGTATAATTGACTATTAAGAAGCCTCTGAATCCTTCTGAATAAAAGAAATATTTTTTTTGTTAAAATTGTTGCTTGAGTGGTAATTCTTTGTGTATTGACGAAACATTAGCAATGAATTGGAAAAAGAAAGAAATAAGTCATCGATGTATTTTGTTGATTGTCCGAATCAGCAAGGTCATTTTTAAGCTTGATTACTCCTGCACTAAAATACTTACTTGGTGTTTGTGTATCTTTCCTCCTCTTTACCATCAAGATTACCGTTCAGTTAACGAACAAAAATTGCATGTGTTCCAATGACAAATATCTAGAAGGGAGCTGATTGTAACATGCATTTTTTGCCGCGTACGACGTGGATTCTTATGCAATCTCACCAGATAGGGGATCATCGGAAACGCACGGAGTCAAAGTCAAAACTGCGTTTCACAATTGAATAGTTATTTTTTAAACTGTCGTATCGCCATTTATTTTTATTTTTTGTAGTTTTACGTACAATATGTTCTTAAGACACGACTCCATCACACTGTCAAATATTGCGTTAAAAACATGTTAAATGGTATTCGAAAATCATTGAATATAATTTTCAACTGTAAATCTGTAGTTTAATGAATTCTAAAAGATTGTGTTTATTGGAAATACGACACGATGTAATATGCTTCTCAATTTGTAGAAAAACTATGAATAGTGTTGGACACAGTCGCTGTCTGTGGTTGCAGTATTACGAACTGTAAGTCCACGAGGATTCTGCTGGTGAGCATGCCTTCGTCTCAACACATCTAATTAACAATTGCGTTATTCAGTGTTGGGCCTGAGTGGATCCGTCTTCTGTCGAAAAAGTTGGGGCGCGAACAGCCAACTAATTGTGCCCAATGGCAGTTGTTTGGCTCTAATCAAAGGCAAAGCATTCTTCAAATCAGGGCAATCAAAATTGTTCGCTCTAGTCAGTTTCATAAATGATGTTTGAAATGTCATGGGAGATGTTTGTAAATGGATCTTCTCATTCCTATTTTATTAGCGAGGTTAGGTTCATGCTTGTCAGAAACTGCCGGCAACTCATTTCATCCATTTCTTCTTAAAATTTTCGTAGGAGGCTTCTTAATAATTTCAGAGATTTCAATCTGAGATCTTCAGGCCGCCTCGTGCATAAGCTAATGTAACAAGTTTGTCTGTATCCACGAAATAAAATATTTTAGTTTTATTTGATTCCATTCTATCATCTGAGAGCTTCGGCAGTGTTCGCCAGAATGTTTTTGCGAATGTTGTGGTTGGTGTCTGCACCTTTCTGATGCATTGCCATTTGCACATGGAGTCACACAGGGCTCAATTTTGCGCCCTGTTCTTTTTACTATACGTAAAAGATATGCCCTTGATGAATCTAAAAGGAAGAACAGTTCTCTTTACTGATGTTAAGAATATTATTGGCATTAGTAAATAGTACAATATCATATTTTCAAATGGTTTTTAATAACAAATTTGAAGTACAAAACAGTAAACGAAGGGAAAACAGTTTCAATGTAGTATTCAGTTTCAAATAAATAGTTGTATACTCCATCAGTCAATGGTATATCGTTTATTTTCAATAGTTGATCTCTGAATTCTCTCAAACCTCAAACGGAACGTCCATTTAAACGAATTGTACAGAAAATGAAGTTCATTATGCTATGCGTTCAGAATTCTGTCAAATTCAGTCAGCCTGCTCTTTGTATATTTTTTATGAACCTTTTTTCCCACCTGATATACGACATAATATTCTGGGGAAACATCCTATAGATCCGCGACTTTCAGGTTGCAGAAAGAATTGTACCAATAATAAGCAGATCCCACCTACGTGATACTTGTAAACCTCTTTGTATTGAGCTAGGAATTATATCATTGCCTTGCCTTTTGAGTTACGAATCAATGTTTTTTTGTCGAAGACGACTTAACTCAAGTGTCGGAACATTTTCAGCGAATTCAGATGCTTATAACTATAATTTTTGATTAAGTAATCGTATTCGTGAGGTGTCTATATCAACAGGTCACTACGAAACTTTTCAGGCAACATGTGTATATTATTTTATACCACATTGTCAGAAGACATAAAATTATTAAAGTCGATACACACGTGTAAGTGCAAAGTATTATCTTATTTGCTGCATAACTGATGGTATACATTTAAATACTTCACCTAGCATCGAAAAGGAAAGTAATATTGGTTTTAACAATGACTAGTTATTAGACATTTTAACTATGTATTAGTTATTTGTACTGCGTACTTCTGAAAGACTGAATAAACGTGAAACATGTATTGTACCTCAGATTCTAGGTCAATGACCCCTATCTCGACCAGACGTTTTGTCCAGTTTCCCTGATACTTTGAGCAAATTCTGAGATGGTTCCATGTTGTGCTTCTGGGCATAGAGGTAACAATTTGTGCAGGATTTCTGGAGTTCAGTTCGTTCTTCCTGTTCTCGCAAATCATTTCCGCGAGAAGGGCATGATGACGGATAATAGCCAAAGTCTGTTGCAGATTTTCCTTTACAAATAGTTTTTATTTCACGGGAACTAATATTTTCGTACCAATTCGTCCCCAAAACCCCCTTTCTACTTGTACCCTTAATTCAACTTGTATATGAATTAGGGAGGGGATCCCAGAACTCAAGAAAACGTACACAGAAGCCTTATACAGTTTCAACTGTTTTTGACGATAAATAAGTAAATAAAATAAATAACTAGTATATGTTTGAAATATTTTAAATTGAGGTGCTCTTTCGAACGCGAATTCGATCAAATATGGATCCATTCTTAACGTGCCCGCACTGATGGCGCATTGCAATGCATATAGATTTATTAATAATTCTGCAATTAAGTTTGAGAACTTGGTGGCAGAATACACTAACGTAACAATACAGAACTTAACAACTTTACAAAATCTACAAACTTTACAAATTAACGTGAGTATTTCTCCGTGCAAACTTTCATAGCACTCCACTTCACCGCACTTCACGGTGCGGGTGATTCACCGCACTGCGAATCACCAAGCTGTAATGTCTTTCTTACACACTCGTTTCCCTCAGTTTCACAACGGCATTGCACTGCACATAATTAATAATAATGATGATAATAATGAAATAACAATAATAATAATTATACTTAATTACATAGAAGACATAGTTACACTGAATAATATTAAATATATTATTAACACACATATCAACATTCAGGAAACTAATTTATTTTTAAATTTGCTCAGGCTTTGAGGAAAGGGATCGAAGATTGTCTCAGGCAAACCGTTCCAGTCTCTAATAGTTCTATTTGCGAAAGAAATATTTCCCAACGTCCGTTTTCTGAATTCTTGTCTGAATTTCTTTCCACGCTCGAAGGCCTGTGTACGCTTTATACATTGCATAGAGACGTGACTTTAATCTCCTCCTTTCGAGTGACTCCCATACCCCTTTATTCTTGGTACCCCTGAAAGCAAATTTTGATGCTCTACGCTACCTTTTTTTAGATTCCTTTGTTGCAAAATTCTGTATGGCTCCCAACATACCGTGCCATATTCTAATATATGTCGCAGTAATGACATATATGCTAGTTCTTTGGCTCTCACTGTACTCTTTTTCAGTATCTGCATAACAAAATGTAAAGATTTCCATGCTTTCTCTACAAAGAAATTGACTTGATTTTCCCAGCTCAATTTGATGTCTAGCTGTATTCCTAAGAATTTGCAAGTCGTGACTCGAGGTATAACATTATTGTTCCATTTTACGCAGATTCGTTGTAACTTCGACCCCTACCAATCGTGATGGACTTGTTCTTTGAACCGTTTCCGCCCAGATGTGTAATTTGTCTAAGTTATCTACTTAGACAAAACGCACTTACCTGCAAAGAGTCGTATATTTATAGCTAAATTTCTTGGCAATTCATTGACGAAGGCAATAAACATAAGTGATCCGATGACACTTCCTTGCTGAATTCCTGTCGTGATGTTTCTCGAGGTTGATAAGTAACTTCTGATTCCGACCTTCTATTTCCTGTTCGGAAGTACTTAGTTTATCCACGCTACCACTCTAGTGTCTATACTCGAATCTATTAATTTCTTTATAAAACGATCGTGTGGAACAACATCAATAGCTTTGGAAATGTCTATTACTACGGTGTCGACCCTTTTCCATTCATCAACTACGTCGGCTTGGTCCTGTAGAAGTGAGACTAGCTGACTTTCGCATGAGAAACCATTTCTGAAACCGTGCTGACCCTGATAAAGCCACTCCCTGCCCTCCCATTCTTTCCTGAAATAGCTTCAAATTAGATGTTCCATACGTTTGCATACGACTGATCTAAGGCTTATTGGCCTATAGTTCCTAAGTTTGTCTTGTCGCCACTTTTAAAAATATGTACTACGAGAGCCAGCTTCTAATCTTCCGGTATGCAAGCGTTGTTTATTGCTACTTTAAATAACCTAATTAAATATGGTAGAATTTAACGCGCGCGCGCATTAACTTTGTATGCTTTTATGCATATATAACAGCATACAAAATGTTCTTGACCAACATTGTTTATCTTTTTTATCAGTAGAAACTCAAATTCAGATTTTTCCCAATTCCAAGAGAAAATCAGGAGTGAATAATGAAGCTGTGAATTGTATTATAAGGGCCCCTTCACAAAGACCGCTAGGGGGCCCCCGAAAGGATTAATCCAGCCCTGAGTAAGATATCTAGCAACGTGTCTCCAATTTTTGAAAATCGGGTTGTTTACAAAAATATTGCTAAGCAGAATTGTTACCTTGAGTCGTTTATCTGTTATTACAGAAACACGGTTTCTGTTAATATTATACTGTATGCTACAAATTATGGATAAAATAGAAGAAAGTCAATGAAGCAAACTTTTCCTCTAAAAGGGGTCGATGCAAACACAAATTTGGGAATCCCTGCTCTAAGTTTGGTTCAAAAGAGCCATGTAGCTCAGATACATGTTATATTATGCAACCCACATGACATGCCCGCATGGCGGGCTGGTTCCGTACTTCGAAAATGCCTTTGAAACACACTGCAAGTTCAGTTAATATATTGACACCGTATCCATCGTTGAAAACGCCATAACGCAAATGACGGTAAATGTGTTCATATATTTGTGAACAAAACTACGTGTTGAAAGGGTGTTTTTTTAATTGTCTGGTTTATTTATAATATTAGAAGGATGTACTTCGGTCGTTATAAAATAGTGTTATGTCAATGCTGTGCGGAGAGTCAACAGGAAATCACTACCTGCTGAGAGCCAGTCTCTCGCTTTCTAATTTTGTTCCTTTTAACAGGTTTGATTCCCAATTTTAATTTGGCACGTTTTGTTTCAACAACCATTTCCTAGTGCTGCACTTGCTCCCTGTCTGCAAAAAGGTCGGCGTTCACTCCCGTCTTTGTTTTCTATTTTTCTCCGTTTTTCAGTTGGTTCCGTTTCACGTGTTATTCCGGTCCACTGCCTAACAAGAATCTGTCATCCTCTTTGGGATTCCGTTTGCTTTTTTTTTTATCTTTTTAACTGATTCCAATCCCCATCCCATCCAATTTGTTAGACTGATGATTTTTGTCGATGCGACAGCACTTGTGGAAGTCCGCCTCGGCCGCCCCGTGAGCGTTGCGCGTGAGGGCGGGGTGTGCACGCAGGTACAACGACTTCACGGCGTCTTTGGCGCACATGTTCCCGCCCGTGCTGGACCAGGACCTGAGCAGTGTGGGCATCCTGCTGGAGGAGACGGGAGGCGGCGGCGTGGGCGTGGGCGTGGTCGGCGCTGGCGAGGCAGCGGGCGCGGGCGCGGGTGCTGGCGCAGGCACGGGCGAGGGCGATGGAAGCCCGCAGCGCGGGCGCGCGGGCGGAGGACGCGATGGGACGGACAGCGGAGAGGTGACTCCCGTGTCCGTCTCTGCCAGCTCCGAGTTCGCGTTCGGCGCTGACGGCCCTGCCCCCGCCTCCGCCCTCGCGCCCGCCGGCGCGGAGGAGGCGGCGTCGGCGGGGGTCCTGCTGCAACAGCAGAAGCGCCGGCGCGTCGACGGGGAGGCCGGCCCCGCTGCCACCGCCACCCTCGGCCCCGGCCCCGCGCTAGCGTCCGCCCCTGCCCCTATGCGCCCGCCGCCGCCGCCCGCCGTCGCCGGCCCCGCCGCCAGTCTCAAGGGCCTCTCCAAGACGGTGGAGAGCATGGCGTTAGCCGAGCGGCGTGGCCGCGTCGGCAGCTACCTTGGCACCAAGTTTGTCGGCAGGTGGGCGTCCTCTGCCCCGTCTCCTAACCGAACGGCCCACGGTCGGAAATACAGTATATCTTAGAATAAGTGTTACATGTCTAACGCGTGTACAGGAATCGAAAATAGTCACTTTTTGCCAATTAACACGCACTCGGAAATTTCGCAATTACGGAATTACATGCTTTATATTTGCCTCTGAATGTTGGGCAACCTGTAAGCACATGTGTTATGCAGATATGACTTCTTGACTGTGATAGGCGGGGGTCACAGTGAAGTCATTTTTCGCCTAAATTTTAGTGGACCTACGACGGACTTTGTATCGAATTCGTTCAAACATTTATTGGTTAAAATGTCCATAGTGAACTGAAATGTACCTCCTCCGACGGCAGTTCCCGAAAACGGATCCGTTTCGTTTTATTTTGTTCGGCCGACCGAAAGTTCGGACAAAATCGGCTCCAACGCGATCTGCAGAACATCAGTGCATAAGGAGTTGCCTTACAATCAGAGGCAAATGTCACGTGTGTAACTGTGTTGTTCAAATTTCCTACTGCAAGGTCATCGGTAAAAAGTGTTCATTTTTGATCCCTCTATATGCCCCAGAAATTTGTAACATTTTTTGGCAAACATCTGTGGAGATGCCAACCCGTGGCCGTGAGGGGCATGTTCGTAAAATCTGACGGGTTACGTGACTGTTTCCTTGCATCAATTGCACGTTGTCTGCTGACGAATGGATGAAGTGTATTTTAAAATTTCATGAATTTTGTATTCCCTTTGTTGTTGTTTTGTTACTTAGTTCTTTAGTTGTAGATTCAGTGAAGATGTATTAACTTAATCAATTTCTCTGGTACATAGCTACTTTCTTCTTAAATAGGAATTATTGCTAACCTACACACACACACAACCCACTGAAGCACTATTTACTAAAATATGATATACTTTCTGCATGAGTAGAGGTGTTTTTATGACTGCTCTAAATAAAAACATACACCAAAATACTCTTTATAATCAGTACTAATAAGTTTCTTCTGATAATTGTTTAATCTGTTAAATTTAGATAATTATTATGATCGCCATTTACACCAACTACCTTTATCAGTTGATTTTTCAATTTATTTTAAGCTTGATTTTGTCTACAATTTCTTTAGTCCTAAATCAGTAGATACTTTTGGGTCTTAACAATAAGATATGGAATATGACAACGAATAATTTGATTTAATAAGGAGTAAAATACACAAGTCTCAACATCAGCATAAATACCTAATAACAATAATGAATTCCATTTAATAGCCTCCAATTCTTAGCTTATCATTAATAATTCTTCTGTAGAATTAAGTTGACTAGAGCAGGTAGAAATACGAAAAACGCCAGGACTTGTACATTTCAGGATAGAAAAATCAGTTATTAGTGGATGAAAGCTATCTACTAAAAAATTTGGAGAATTTTCTTCAGCAACAATTGATTCAAAATCTCTTATTGCAAGATTAAATTGTTTATAAAACATTTCTAACATTACGAAACTGTGTATAAAGTTTCAATACTTGCGATATCAAAGACCGGCGTATTATAAATAAGAATAAAAATAACTTAATTGGAAAAATTGAGAGTCTGTTTCCAACAATATTTACAGCAGGAACCACGATTGTAATTTTATCTAGCTTTAAAACGAAATAAGAATAATGTTTACTAATAGCAATAAAAATTCACCAGCACGTTTCATCAGCTTGTCGAGGTGGGTGGTTCCTCGTCCTGACAGGGATGCAGGGAGGGCTCTCAAATATTACTTTCTTTCACCAGATATCTTTATCTTTCTCATCGTTCGTTCTCGTTCTTTGATAACATCCTGCCTCTTCTTCTACCCCTTCTATTTCACTGACTCCCCCCCCCCCGTATGCAGAACGCCGTGTTTGTGTTTGCCGTGTATGGCGACCCGTCTAGGAGGGAATGTGTGTCCTGGCAGTTGAGGGACCTGTTCTTTTCTCAATTAGTCCTTGTGCTACTTTCTGCTTTACACATTGAGATACGTTGTTTACGTATTTTGTGGAACATTCCTTGCCGCTTTCCAACACACTGGCTTTGGCATCGGACTCTACTAGACGGACGGTCGGGAGCTAACCCACTCCAAATCAATCGGATCGGACTGAACTCCAGAGTGAGCGGGGAGATCCACGGCGTGGCAGCGCTGTGTCATCTCCCCACTATATCTTCGTGGCAAACCTAGCTCCAATGGAGTGTCCCCTTGGGCTCCATGGTGGGTGGGGACCACGGGGATGAATCTTATATTCATCTCCATGAATACTAAACCTTCTCACCCCCCTCTTCCGCAAGGAAGAGGAGATATCCGGAACGAACTATTAATTTAAATAGTTTTTTGTTTTTGTTTTTTAAAGACGACCGACCGGAAAAGACTCGTTTCCTCCTCATGGCATGCGCCGAGGAAGGAAAAACGTTTAAAAACGTAAGTGCTGTCCGCCTGGCGCGAGCCATAGAGCAAGAATATGGAAAGATCCAAACGCTCGTGTGACAGAGGAATGGAACGAATCTCTTTGAAGCACGTACCGACGAGCAAATAGAGAAATTACTAAAAACCAAACAGATTGCCGACCTCGACAAGTCCAAGCGACAGCGCAGCCTTGAACCTGTGCAGAGACGTCATAAACCACAACGACTTGCTTTAGAAAATGAACTAATTTCATTTTTCAAGAGTCAGGGTGTGACAAGTTTATAGGATTAAAAGAAAAGAGCAGGGGAAAATGATCCCTTCTTCAAACCTGATTCGTACTTTTGACCGTCCGTCCCTTCCGGAAAGGATCAGTTGTGGTTTCTATTACCTCTATGTGCGACAGTATGTACCAAACCCTTTGCGCTGTTTTAAGTGTCAAAGGTTTGAGCATACCCAGCAACGATGTAAGACGGCAAGCCCAGTGTGCGGGAAGTGCGGTGCATCCGTGCACGATCCACATTCCTGCGCTATACCACCGCACTGTGTCAATTGTGAAGGTGACCACCTACCCAACTACAACTAGTGCCCTACCTTTCTCCGGGAAATATAGATTCAGAAGATAAGAGACACCGAAAATATTTCCTTCCCTGAGGCCAAACGCCGGCACTAGGCTAGAAATCCTGTAGACTTGTCACGATCCTTTACCAGTACTTTAAAGATCAAGTCCTCAGGGGTAACAGCAAGTTGTCAAACATTTCGTGCTCGTGCTCTAGTAGCGCACTTCCGTTGTCAGGTGACGCCTACAGACTTCCCTGATGATATGGGTGCATCCAAAGTGTAAAGGTAATAATACCAACAAAGTTCCAAAAACCAAACCAAAAACTCAACCAGATACAGATCACTTCCACTGAGCACCTTAAAGAAATAGATTCAAGCCGCTGCGCTTCTGAACAAAAACTCGCATTCAATTCGCTTCTGAACAAAAATTCTTTACAGAAGTCCCGTCCTACTTTCGAGACTCACATTGAGCGATCCTCCAGCCCACAATAGACCTCTGTCGCCTGTGGCAAAAAAGTAGGGAAATCCCCCCAACACAGGCGACCATCTCCAGCACCTATGTGTATGTCTCTGCTGTTGGCGTGGAACACAACTAGAGTTCCTCTACAAATTTTCAGAAGGTGAGAAAGAAAAAATATTCTGGGAAGTAATTCCCTAAAATGGCTCTCTCGTGGAATCTCAACGGCTTTCATGCCCATTCAAGAAAAATTAAGATTGATAATTCCTCGCTTTAGATCATCAGTAGTCTGCCTTCAGGAAACTCTTCTTCCCCATCATCCCTTGTCTTCGCGGGTTTAACATCTATAAGTCTGATCAAGATGGGCTCCGTGCTCACGGTGGTGTCGCGGATCTTATCTGTTGCACCCTGTTCTCTGAGGAACAAAATGTTCAAACCGACTTTCAAACTATGCATTCCCATACACATATCGTTGTGTTCTCTAACTTTGTGCAATATATACATTCCTTCTCGCCAAGTGGTGTTACAACAAGAACTTGAAGATTGTTTTCTCAGTTCCCCGCCCCTTTTCTTATTGTGAGGCACTCGCATGCCTACAATGCTGCCTGGGGTGGCACAAGGACTTGCTCGAGAGTCGATATACTTCATAATATTATTGACAACCAGAACCATCGGTCGTCCATCAATCTGGCTCTCCGTAGTCAATCTCTCTCTACCATCTTCGAGTGGACTGTCCTTGGCGACCTGTATGGCAGTGACCACTTACCCATTCTGGTCAATTTCGATATTCCCGACCCAAACTTTGCTGGTCCTCGTTGGCTAATCCACCAAACTGGCAGGGAAACATTCCAGAAAATAATACGGATATCGGAAATCTGCCCAAACGATATTGGCGCTATGGTTGCCCATTTTACTGATGCCGTTCTTCATGCGGCCTCAATTGCCAAGCCGAAGACGTCGGGTCACCCACGACATCCTCCCATGCCATGGTGGAATGCAGACTGCGCCACCGCGGTGCGTGATCGGAAACAGGCATTGGCAAAGCTTAGTAGGTTCCCAACCGTGGATAATCTGATCAATTATTAACGATCACGAGCCAGAGCTAGATTGACCATACGGGAACGTAAGGTCACGTCCTGGAGAGCTTGTATTTCATCACTCTTTTGCCGTACGCCCCTAAAGTATTGTGGCGAAAGGTTCGACAGATCGGCGGAAGACTGCCTTCGCCGTCTGTCTCAGGACTTCTAGAAAATGTAAATCTTCTCACCTCCCCCGAAGATATAGTAGAAGAATTTGCCTCTCACTACGAGCATATCTCCAGCTCCGTACACTACTCTCCTAGCTTTCTGAAGACCAAAAGAAGAATGGAGAACTGCAGGCTAGATTTCTCGTCTCGCGTGGAGGAAGATACAGACTTGTCACAGCCACTGGACCAGTTTGCATAAAGAAATAACATAGTCAGGGTTTCAAAAATTATCACTTTGCCGAGAAAACAGAACAAATAACAGGAGTTCATCAAACCAGCTGTTATCTCTATGCCGCCGTGAGTAGTACAATGTTTCTTCTTAGGTTTCTTTTCTTATGGCAACAAATGTTAATTATTCATGTTAAATATTAATGTACTGATGATATCTTTTTTGCAAGAAATATTACAAATATTCAGTTAACTCGAAAGCTAGAAACTTCATAGAAAAGAATTAAATGAATAAATCCACATATTATCCACATGGCTGTTGTACAGGTATATCCATTATACATTGGTTTGTCAGATCTACGAGACAATGTTCTATTCAGTTCTAAAACATTATTCAATGCTTGTTTTCTTCTTGATTTTTCTTTTCTTTCTTTCAGAATATAGTTGGGATTAAGGGAAACAAAAGTTATTTTCCACATGTTATCATTGTCTTAGTATACACAAATACCATTGTACTTCTGGTGGTATGAAAAGATAATGTAACGAATTGTACCAAGAAATCTCATTTTATTATATCCTGTAGATTGTGTGTTTATAATATTAGTAACATTCACATAACTAGCCAAATGGATAATAAACTACTACATTATAAATTCTCAGAAATTTACACACCTTTTATGGCAAAATTTGCCAGTAAAACATGTGCAAATATTTTCTTCCCAGCTTGAAAGATTGATATTCATTGACATATCAATCTTCAGACTTCTTTAGAAATAAGTTTTCTGTTGCATCAATTGCTTGCAACAATGCTTTGTATTGTTGGAAGTATTAATAGTGTCTTCTTCTCTTCCATTTTGGAGCTGTATAATTTCCTAGTTTGTTGTGTCCAGTCAGAAGCATATGATCTATTATCACATTTTTATTTATGATGATGTACGAGTACGTAACTTTTTGTTAAATTAGCATTGTAAAAAGTTGGCTTGCACTCAAGATTCTTCCTCTGCAAAATAAAAATATACACAAAATTAAACATTGTAAAAAAACATTATATGCTCGAGAGAAATTATGACATTTACTCTCAAGCATTCATATCATATTAATCTCATTTATTATAACTAAGTAAGAAAAGACAGTTTATTATCCTTGTAGTAAAAAGAACTTAGTACAGCTTAGCTGATATCAACAATAAAATTCTGTTTTCTCTTTATTTCTATTTATAAATGTTTCACATTTAAAAAACATCTGCAGCATGTCTATGTTCTTTGTGTCATTATTTTTTGTATGTGTATGAATGCAATTTTGGAAGTTGCGCTACTTTTTAAAGCATTTTTATGTGATATGTTATATTATCATCAATATTTCCCTTTGACTTATATCCAAATTTTCCTTCAGAAAGAGATGGATGAATTGAAACTTTAGTTGTTAATTAAAGAGTTAGAGTTTCGATTTAACAGGCAGTATCAATATGTCACTGTAGTTATCAACATTTTTTTAATCTGAAATTTGAAAGTTGGTATTATGAAAGATGATTTCCATTCAATCCTTCATACAGGGCGTCTGAGGAGGAAACGTTGAAACTTCGAAAATAAGCTTCTAAGACAGTTTTAAGCAATTTTTTTCTGATAAACTTCTTGGATATTCCGAATGGCTAAGGACTCAAAAATTTGTTTGAGAAAATGCATTCTAGGCACATATTTGCATTGAAGTATAGAAACACTCCAGAAACATGTAAATTGTTTATTATTTTTAAAAGAAATGTAAAGTTCAGAAAGAAAAATTAATCCAGAAATTAAAAAAGCAGTCGAATTGTGTAAATTGGGTGCCTTTTCATTTTTGTTTAATTTTACTTTCTGAACAAATATATAAATTTCTTTTGTAAATAATAAACAATTTACTTGTTTCTGAAGTGTTCCTATGCTTCTACAATGTAAATTTTTGCCTGGAAAGCATTTTTTAAACCAACTTTCGAGTGCTTATTGTAACTCAACCATTTGGAATATCCCAGGAGTTTACTAAACAAATAATGCTTAAAATTGTCTAAAGAGATTATTTGCAAAGTTTCGATGTTTCCTCCGCGGACATCCTGTATAGGGACTTACCAAATAATTTCAATATTTCAGGGAAAATGAAGCAAGATTTTTTAGGAGAATTGAAAGAGATTCCTTCTGGACCTGCACTATTAACATCTAATTCATTTATCACTGTAAAAACATGTCTATTCTATTAATTATATTAAAAAATATGGACTCCTTAATAATGTTCAAAATGATTAATTAATTTCTTTTGACGCATAGTTTATTTTTAAAAATTGCAGGTGGGTAATGGAAAGCAATGAGAATCTAGAATCCTTTGCCAATGATGAGGGAGAAGATTTCTTCCCAGTGCCTCCAGAGAAGGAGGTGGAACCGGTGGTGCCAAGTGTTGGACTGGGCCTTGTGGGTGGCTTGGAGCCAGATGCAGCTGATGAAGAGGATCGCACCATTACCTCTTCTATGACAGCCACTTCACCCGCGCGCAAAAGCATCTTCCAGGTACAGGTTCTTCCCAGAAAAATCTAGTTTATATACATGTATTTATTAGTGTGAAAGACATTCAACAAGTAGATCCCAATGTACTGAATAAAATAAATAACAAACTCTTGCAGCAAGGTATGCATTTTGGTACCTTTTGAACTTCGATTTATAATTTGCTACAACTTTTTATGAGTGCCCTGGCCCCTTCATGAATTTTATTGTGTTGCTTCCTTGAGGTCAATCCATCTTAGGGGGTCCCAATTTGATCATTTCATCATCTGAGAAAAAATCATACTTTGGGTATGAATTCCCTTGTTTCGGTTTTTAAAACCTTTATCTTTATTATGGTAACTGATTAATTAATGGAGACCATTTTTGTTTCAAGCTTCATGCTATTTTTCCTGTTCATAGACGTTTAGGCTTTTCTAAATTACTCAGCGCTGGGCTGTTCGAAATTTTGAAAACAAAATGTATTGGTTTCAGTAAACTCTGACCCACAAATATAAGTATTAAAGTTCGATTTTCAGAATGTAATTTCCTTGTAATATCAACGTTTGTCTACATAATGTAATGACCCCGTGACTAGTAATCACAAAAGGGGTCACACACAGAGCGCTCTTGGTACATAATGGATTGCAGGCCACAGCGCTATTTTTTTTTTAATTAATGGGCACCAAGCGTCACTGTAATCAGGCTCCGACGTTGATAACCCCAAGGGTGGGCTGCTCTGGTTCGAAAGGTTGCAAATTGTTAACCATCTACTTGAAATAATATTCAATAGTTTTCATTTAGGCAGGGACACGTTTAGTATTTAAAGTAGAACTAGTTGGTACGATGACAAGATAACTACTTATCTAATTAGCTTTCTCTGCCCGGAAATATTGATCAGTTCATGAATATGGACAGTACTCATAATTATTGTACGGCGTTACCGCTCTTCGGGAGAATTGCAAGTTCACAGGCCGTTACTGGCGCAGTCCGGGCTACGCGGTCCCAGCGACGCTTCTTTGAATAGGGGGCGCGCGCTCGGCAGGGAAGCAGCATCGTCCTCGCGTTTAGGCGACTCCGCGCGTCCGCTATTCGCCGAGCAGCGAGCCCCATCCCAACACCTCAAGTGTACGGCGAATGTTTGCTCCCTTTGATGTGTCCTAAAGACCGACACGCAGTGGGTAGAACGAATACAGAATGTTCGTCACTCGACAAATAGCCAGCAACTCATCCACACTACTCAGGATTCGGCGTGCGGTTGCTCGCTACTCACCGAATAATGAATGTGTGGAGCCGCCTTTCCAGCTGTGCAGGCGATAGGCAGCAGCCCGCGACCATTCTCATGGCGATGGTTGACGGTTGTCGTTGGGAGTTTATTTATTAAAATACAGAAGTTTTTATTTGTATGAAAACACTATTCTTGAGCTTGAAGGTAATAAAATTGTTAAAATGTATAAATTAAATAAGATTAAACAATGTGAACACCATATTTTAATATTTATATTGATTATTTAAATTTGTCATTGAGCCGAAAAGGGGATCATATATTTACATATAATCAAAAGTTAACATTGTCTAAGGTTAATAAAATTCAAATAAAATTTGGCCTTTTACTTGCCTTCACTGCAAAGCTGCCAGAAAATGTTTCATGTGGGAGTGTATTTGCTTTCCAAGGAACTGACTTATCATGCATAGCTGAACACCAACTTTGTGACCTTAACCTATCAGTAGAAACAAGGGGAAATTCGAATACCAAAGTGTGACCACAATAGGAAACTGACAAAAAAGGTATTTACAGAAAAACTACTAGCTTAAATACGAAGATGTGCACATGTTTGTAGAGTTCTTTTTAAGTCATAGGCCAATTTAGTATATGGTTCCATTCAAAAAATCAAAGTTGAACGTGTATCTTTGTAGTTTGAAAAAATGGGCCAAAATAGATGTGCCTGTAATGCTCCAATCTATACTATCAACTTCGCAGATGGCAATTTTGTATCCTTCACAGTTAAGAAAATAAAAGGGGTTTTATATAATAGTTAACTCATATTGAATGTGCATTCTGTCTACAGTTACTTTTTTTTTAATGTCTTATTTCTTATATTATTTTATACAGGTTTTTGGAAGTCCTGTATCACGACCATTACCATCCAGTGTGTTGAGTACAAGCGCTGGGAAAGAGTCAAAGCTATCTACATCCTTGACACCTTCTACAGAGAGCGACATCACCCAGATTGAAGTGGAGTTTGGCAAACCTCAGAGTGCCCTCTCCATGAGCCTCAAGTCTCTCCCCATTGAGGAGGGATCCCTGGCGTCCCCTCCTGGCTCTGCCGTGTCTGTCTCTGTCGCTACTCCTTCGCACTCTCCGACTCCTGGTGGAACCAAGCGCCCCCCCACCAAGACCCCTGTCATTTCTGCTTTCTCTAGGGAATTCCGTGTATACTCTTCTTCTAAAGCTGGCAGTCTGGTATCAGAAGCCAGCTTGCCCTCTCCATCGCCCACAATGGAGCCTGTTCTTACCACACCAGAGGAAGGCAGCGTGTCTTGCCCAGCTTCAACCTCTGCTTCAGCACCAGACACCTCATCCAGTTCAGATGCCCTCAGCAGCGTTCGTGCTGCAGATGCTGCAAGTCCTGCACAAATTGCACATGCCACTATGCCTCTCTTAACGCTAGCCAGTAGTCTGACAGACAGACCCTGTGTACAGAGAGGCTTCAAAGTTGCAAAAGAGCCAGAAACATGAGATCATTGTTGGGAAAATAGTGTTAAGTGTTATCTGACATGGTGTGTCAATATTGTATAGTTAGTATATTTAAATATAAGAAATTTTATTTTAATCCTTGGAGGTGTGCCTACTAATCAACTATCTAGTTGTTAAGCTCATAAAACTATATTTTGCTACACAGAAAGAGGTAAATAGAGAAGGAAACAAATTTTTCAATGAACTGTTGAAAAAGGATATTGTAAACAAAAATTTCAATGGATAATGCAAATTTGCTGTCTCAAATGATCACAGGCTTCTTAAAAGGAAATTGGATTAGTGTAGGAAAATGATTTTTCTCTGATTTTAGAAAATTATTATTCTAGGTATTCATTATGCCCAGTTTTCTGTGTTCAATAATTGTTGCTAGTAATAGTATTAAGATAAATTTTATCTAATGCTATAGTTTCTTTGCCATAATTTATTACAGAATCATTAATTCTGTCACAGTTACTTCTGACATTGCAGAAGACTGTCTAATAATATGTAACAAACAAAACTTTGTAAATAAACAGATATGTTTCATGTTATATCATGGATGATACTTGATTATTAGACATGACTTAAGTTAATGAGTCTTTTGTTGACAAGCTTTAGGATACAAATAAGGCTTTGGGATTTAATAAATTTTTATTTCTTGTAAAGAGCTTCTTTTGGAATCAGGACAACCATAAAAAAAGTTTTTCTTTGAAAGATTGTATTTAATATCTAGTTCTTGAGTGTCTTAGAACCAGTTAAAGGAGGATGTGTAGAAGTTGCTTAATAACACATTGCCAGTTGTTCAGTGCTATACTTGATATGTTACTCCTAATGGTTTTGTTTTAGATTTTCTTTTATGCTGTTAATTATTAATAAATTTTGTGAAACTTAATTATTAGCATTCTTCACTTATTGTGAAGTAATGAAAGGGCATTATGGAAAAATTAAATCATCTGAAATTAGAGGATTATAATGTACTTAATCAATAATAATTTTAATAATAATGATAATAATACTTGGAGCAAACAGCAATTTAAGTACTTGTAATTCAAAATATTGTATTATGTTGAAAATTGTTAAGTTATCAATTATGTTAAAAAACATGGACAATTTTACATAAGTAATCATTTTTCCTATAAAAATGTAGTTACATTCAAAATGATTTTAAGTTATTATAAAAGGACTTATGAGCGGCACCTACCTTCATTATTAACAATTTACTTATTGGCTAAAACAAATAATATATTAGGAGATTCTTGACATGTTGAAATTCTGGTTCTTGAGTATAGGACATAAGTAAGTAAAAAAATCTGACATTTCTATGCCATTGTTTCAGCCACTTTATTTGGCCTTCATGAAGGCTACAGTAATAGTTTTAAATTTTCTTTTTAAGAAATGAATAGGTACGTGAAATAAAGGGAAAGAGGATAAAAACCATTACAATAATGTTGTTATTATGCTTTTTAAATTTATTCTTTGCATCTATTCATTTTATGTAAATATCCAAAGTTGTGATTGTAACCTTGACGACAGCTGACTATGTGCAGAATTTTCAGAAATGAAAAGTTCATTTATTTATTATGACCTACACTCAAGAAACAGATAAACATAGGAACAAATACCATAATTTTATATACATTAACTGGTATTTTTTTATAGTCATTATAGAAAAGTTATGATCATGCAATTTACATTGAAGTCTGTTTTAGGTACATATGTTCACATCAGTGTAAGTTCATTGTAAACAGAAGATGTTTCTCGCAATAAAAAATTTTACATGTATTTTTGATCCTTTGTAATTTTGTTGTGAATACATTTAGAAAATGTCATTTCAATGTTCATTTCTTTCATTTAATTATTTATTCCATAGGCATATGCCCAATATTCATAAGATTAACAATATACATAATTTCAGAATATACACAAAGATAAAAATTACAATATCTGCATTGTCAAATACAATTCCTAAGTTCATGTAGTCTCAAACAAAATTCATTAAAATTTTTTCTCCCTTGCTCCAATCAAAGCAAATGAACATTTCAAAATTGCATAATTGAATATTTGCTATGACTAAGTGAGTTTTAAAAATTTTAATTCTTCCTAGCTGTATATACAAAAACTGACATTTTGTGGGGCAGAATTGTCCAATTCATTTTGGTGAGAAAAAATCCCAACAATATTGGTTAGATCATAAAAAATTATTAATCATCATAATAGTGTCAAGACAAGGAAGCTAATGCTTAGGATAGTCATTATTTGATTGTAATTAGTTTTGGCAAAGGTAATACAGGTTTTCTTGGGGGACACCTAAAATTGTCACTATATCTATTGATACAAAAGACTTTCCAACCATTTCAAAAAAATTACATTTTGTCCTATCTAAAGAAGATACATAATAATAAATTATGATTAATTGGGTCAAATGCTTTTGGAAATTCAATATTAACTGCATTCATCTGAGTATTGGCTTCTAATTTGCTTGAAATTTGCTGTTAAAAAATGAAGTTGGCAGTAGTAGATCCCTTAATTGTGATTTTTTTTTCATTGATTATTATATTAATTGGTATTTCAGTTTATCTGTAAATATGGACTCAAATAATTTTGCGGAAATATTCAATTTAGAAATTAGTTCTTAGTTTGTAATATGTGCTTGGTTATCAGATTCATGAATCAATCTTATTGAAACTTTTTTCTATGCCATTGAAAATATATCTTCATTTAAAGATTTAGAAAAAAGAAAATGCAGTATAGGTAATGTATTAGAACTGACATATCAGGAAAAAGGGCACTATTTCCTCAGATTGTGGATTAGTTGTTGCATTTAGTTTACATATTGCTTCTGTTGTATATATGTGAACTTCAAAAAAGTTTTGATAATAATTAATTGAATTTACGGTTTTGTCATTCTAATTTACATACTTTTCTGTTGATTTTATTGTACATGGCTTTTGAAATTCAGAAAATTTCTAAGAACCAGTGTCATTTGAAGTACATTTATGTGTCGTGGTTGGAACAGGTTTTTAAAATAGTTTAAAAAGATCTGAAGAGTGTCATTATGGATATGTGGCAACAGGTGTAAAATATGTAGTCTGTCAAACAATTCATGCACTTTTTTATAAAAGTTTTCAAAGTAAGATTCTCAATTTGTCTACATCATCCTTTAAGCACCACAGTAGATATTTTCTATACCAAATATTGACTATTGTTTATTAATTTCATCATGTCAATCACATTGAATTAGTTATTCATCTTAATGTAGGCACCCATGTGCATTTAAGAAAAATATTATTTTTACCTCAGGTTTTAGTATGTTTTTCTATTTTGAAAAGGGTGGGTTATATATAAACATTGTTGACTTCGTTGTAATTTATAAAAGGAACTGAAATGTTCATTACATAAAGACACCTCAGCTACAAATAAATATTTTATAGTAATTAGCTGCTAGAAAAATTCATAGATTCTTTACTTCTCATTGTACATTAATTTTGAATTGCAGTTTATTATAAATCAAATAATTTCATTTTACAAAAAGGAAAAAAACAAACAAACAATGAAACTAATATTTAATAAATGTGTGCTCATCAATGAGAGTGACCTTTTCTGTGTTTTACTGTGAACAAGCAAGTTGTCAAAAAATATCATATTTACTCAAACATAAGCCGAATCTTACTTTTCTAAGTGGGTATTACTGGATGTACTAGATATTACAGAACATGAACCACCCTGATCTAACTTTGTCAATAGTTCAACTTTTTGAAATGTGTGAATTGAAACAAAGGACTTATATTTAGCATTAGTATTTTATTTTTAGATAGCTTTCCAACAATTGAAAAAAAATACCATTTTTTCCTGTCTGAAGAATTTTTGACAGTAGCTACATTAACTGGGGCTAATGACCATAGCAGTGAACATGCTTGGCAACATTAATCAATCAATCAATCAAATTAAATTATGTTCTTCATGCTATAATCTACAAAATGAGATATTTTGGGTTTGTTTAATAAATTTTTAGGGGTTCAGTGTTTCAAAGACACGCTGAATCTTGAATTACACTAGTACATTTTCATAATGCATGGAAATATGGTGAAAACTTATTTTTTGAGGATAAAATATTGCAGACAACTTTCCTTAGTTTGTGGTGACTTGTATGCCACTGTAACCTGGAGTCCTAGAGTAAAAAAAAAAACACAATAAAGTAAAAACTAATCATCTAAAATTTGTGTCAGTGCAATTGTAATATTGAACTGCAATACTCAATGTGCTTGAATATATTTTTTAGACCTTTTGCAAGTGTGATGTAGTTGAAATTGCAAATGTGTTAGATCTATACTAGTTTGCAGGTGATTGGCAAACATAAGAAGTAATGTTATGGCTACTAGTGATGATAATTTAATTAGATACTGTCATGATCATTTCTATGAATAACATCTCAGTTACATAACTTATAGTAGCAATTTACTTGTATGATCTCCTTCCAGTGCTTTACCATTTCAAGAAACCAAATTATATTAGTTATTCAGTGAAGAGTATTCATCCGGTACATTGTAGATATTATCGTAAGTACTTGTCCTCATCAAGATGACAAAGATGCTGTATATAATACTGTGTTAATAGGCTTGATTTACAGCTCTGCCCCTTATTAAAAATTATTTTCATTCCTTTTTGGATTGCCTTTTTCCTGTAATTGGAAATCCTTTACATTTCTCTATGCCAAAATTGCAAAATGCTTTCTGATAGTAATTTCATAACTAATCTTGAGGGGAGAGTGATCATGTGTCTGATGATGATGATGATGTTGATGATAAAGAAAAGTATTGAATTTAACTTTCTTTGGTTTAGTTCCATCCTCATGGTGTGGTCTCAGTTATATTGCTCCATTATTTACCCAGTTTTTTTCTGAGGAAGGAAATGTTTTACATGTGAAAACTCATTTTTAATGTCCCATTAAATGGACAGTCAAGATGCAATTATCAGGAACATCGGTGAATATTTACAAAATTAAGTTTTGTATAAATAATTTACATTTTTCAGTACCAAAACAATACTGACAACCAAATGGTTTGTGAACTATGTTGCTAAATTTAATAAACCTGGAAAAGAGCCTAGTAATTGTAAAGAATTTTTTTCTATTAATTTTCCGTACCAGAATTATTGAAGCTGGAAGGATTTTGACACTATGGTTTTTGAAACTGCTACTTGCTAATTTGTGGCAGCGTTTGCTGTATTAATTTATTTGCAAAGTACATATGTAGTTCAAAGGCTATAGTAAATATACATATGTGTAAATAAAAATGGAGAATGTATTATTAAATGATTTGAATGTATTAACCATACCCGCCATAATGTAATAACACATTTCACATGCTATAAAGTTGTACATGTTTTTGAAAACATCACATGAAAGTTGAGTTGCTGTGTTTCTTTTCAATTTTGTAGCACAAGCGTATGATATTGTGATAGTAACATATATATTTTTGCTAGCACATTGTAGATATCATTAGCATATTTGTACATACATATGTATTAATTGTGATAAAATGAGCAATTGTTGAACTTACCATTTGGAAACATTGTAACTAAGTGAAATGTGAACATATTTAATTAATTTTGCCTCTTTGGAACCGACAATAAGTAGGAAGTAATTAAAAATATTGTCTCAAATTTGAAGTACATAATAGTTTGAATATAAATATAATATTAACATTCAGTTAAGTGGTTATGGTTTGCCTGAACATTATAATTGTTAAAAAAAAAATCTGTGCATATACTTGAAACATGTGCATATTTTCTTTATTTAAAAATGCCCCTGTTTCCTTTTTAGTATACCAAAAATGTATGAACTAACTTTCTGATGTTTTGGATGAACTCCAAAAAATAAATGTTATATGTAATTGTTAGTGGGATTCAGAAACATATCAGAATAATAAATGAATTAATTTATTTGTGGATTTTCTGCTGTTTGAAAATGATAGGTTCAAAGAATCTCCTGTATTTGGCTGTCGATTGGTTATGTCAACATTTCAGTCTATATTTTGGCTTTCTTTGAAAGGTTGAAATGCACACATACACACTAAAAAAAATAATTCAATCAACAATTTTGCACTTGTAAGTTCTATAAACTTATGTTGTTTGGTCTTTCTGTAACTTTTAGACTTGAAAATACAGAACCAATTGAACAATCATTATTAACACAACTAAATATGTGAGATACTTTTAACCACTTAATTTATTACCAATTACTAATTGTTCAAATCCACATAATATTTCATATTGTGTTTAGAATAAAAACTAAGCAAATTAAAAATTTAAAATATCTATTATTTTTATAAAAGAATTAATAGTCAATTTCAATTTTGAGATAATTAGTTACTGTTAGACTCTACTAATCAAATCCTTTTCTTTTTTTACACAGAATAAGAGCAATAGAAACTACAGTAAGATGAGCAGCCAGTAGAAGCAGTAATTTATTGGAAGGTAGATTCATGGCGATTTTCTGGTGACAGATTGACGCTATATTAAGAAGCAATTTTGGAAAAGGTTGTGCAATTCATTTTACTGTCTTATTTGAGGTAGTGCACTACACATAATGTATTTAAAAAATTGGCATTATGTTTTGAATAAGAATCTAGTAGCCTTTTGAGTTAAAGATTTTTACCTGTAGATGTGGGAATATTTCAGGAAAGACAGATTTACTGTATAAAACTGACAGGAAGCAATATTTAGTCTAAAAATATACGTTTGTTCATTCCTATCAATAAGATGTGCACAGATATAACCAGCAAAGTGAAAATCAGAAAATATTTTACTTTTTAATTTATTTCACGTTATCTGAAGCTTCTTTAAGTTTATTTTGTGGTCTTCAAATTATGATAAACTAGTAAGGCCACTTCTTTGAAGAATTTTTGAAATGCTGAGAACGTTTCACAAATAAATGTAAAGCCTTCTACTTGAAGACAAATTTCATTTCTTATTATATTTCTATTTATGATGGCAAACTGGTCATATTTATATAATTTAACTTTTTTAGTATTCTCAGCCAATTCCTTTTTGTTTTGTTCCATTTATTTTCAGAGTGAGTGTGGTTGCTTTTCACGGATTTTAAAGATAAAAATGAAATAAGTCATTAGAAAATAATTGATACATATAATTTTAAACAAAAAATAAGTGGTTAAAACATATTTCAAGTAGACTTATTACATATATTGGACATTTATTTCAGGCTCCAATCCACATTCACCAATTGCTTGTATATCCCTTTAATTGCTATTTTATTACTACATATAAGTAAACTGTATTTTTATTCTTTCTAAATAATTTGACTATCAATTGTGAATGTATTTAAAACTAGAGATAAAATTCTGATAATTATTTCTTTAGGGCAAAAGCACCAGAAGTAGCCATTATTAAGAATATTTTTGTAGTTTTCTTAAAATATTTGGTCACTAAATTCTAGAAAATTAGATAGGCACAAGTGTAGCTCTGCTACCTCAACCGCACATTTCCTGATCTCCACTTCCAGTCACTTGTCCTCTTTGGTTAGCCTGCTAATCTCACCTTCAAGTTTCGCTGCCTGCATACTAACTTTTCCCATGGTTTCATTATAGAAATCTCTGACCTGAACAATAAATTAGACGCATTTTCAATATTACCTTCTAAATTCTCTCTAACTTCCACATTCATAGTTTTAAGAGTGGTCTCCAAAGCCATTAGGTCCTGACCAATTTCTACTTTCAACTCTTTGAAACTGATTTTTCCTTTACTTGTCCTTGAATACCGGTCGCCTCTCTAACTGGAGTGACATCTGATTCATTGGGGGGTGTTCCTGACTAAGCCCAAATTTATGACCAAAAATTTAAATGACGGTCACGAATTGTTTATTTTTATCTTTTATTTAGGGTCCGTTACAAATTTTGTGTGTTAACTTAGGGACACTGTTCTTAATCTGCGTGGGCGCCTATCGTAAGCAAGTGCATGTTTTTCTATGGAAGTTAAGATCATATTTTAATTTATTGAGCCTGTGCCCAGCATCCCTTAGGCTGTGGATCTGCAAACTGCGCCCCCCTGAGGTTGCGCCCCTGGCAACCATTAGCTACGACGCTGTATGTATACACCGAAGAGCCAAAAAACTAGTACACCTGCTTAATATCATGTAGGGCCTCCGCGAGCCCGCAGAAGTCTCACAACCCGACTGGTGGCATAGACTCGACTAATGTCAGAAGGTAATTGACACCATGAATCCTGAAGGGTTGTCCATACACTCGTAAGAGTACCAAGGGGTGGAGATCTCTCCTGAACAGCACGTTGCAAGGCATCCTAGATACGCGCAATAATGTTCACGTCTGGGGATTTTGGTGGCCAGTGGAAGTGTTTAAATTCAAAAGAGTATTCCTGGAGTCACTCTGTAGCAATTCTGGACGTGTGGGCTGTCGCATTGTCCTGCTGGAATTGCCCAAGTCCGTCGGGATGCACAATGGACATGAATGGGTGCAGGTAATCAGACAGGATGCTTCCGTACGTGTCACATCTCAGATTCGTATCTAGACGTATCAGATTCCCATATCACTCACACTGCACACGCCCCTTACCATCCCAGAGCCTCCATCACCCTAAACAGTGCCTTGTCGACATGAAGGGTCCATGGATTCATGAGATTGTTGCCATACTCGTACAGTACAGCCGTTCGGAACAATGTGAAACGAAACTCATCAGACCAGGCACCCTGTTGAAAGATCCAGGGGAGGCGTAAAGCTTTGTGTCGTGCAGTCATCAAGGGCTCGAAAATCCCTATCGGTTCCGAAACCCTTATCGATGATGTCTCGTTGAATGGTTTACACGCTGACACTTTTTGATGGCCCAGCATTGAAATCTGCAGCAGTGTGCGAATAGGTTGCATTTTGTCACGTGTAATGATTCTCCTCAGTCGTCATTGGTCCCATTCTTGCACGATCGTTTTGCGGCCGCAGCGATGCCGGAGGTTTGATGTTTTACCGGATTCCCGATATTTACGGTACACTAGTAAAACGGGAAAATCCAAATTTCATCGCGACCTCGGCGATGCTATACCCCACCTCTCTTGCGCCGACTATAACACCACATTCAAATTCACTTAAATCGTGATTACCCGCCATGGTAGCAGCAGTATCTAACCACAGTGCCAGATTCTGGTTGTCTTACATAGTCGTTGCCGACCGGAGCGCCGTATTCTGATTGGTTTCAGATCTGTTTATTTCAATACATGGCTGTACCAGTTATACACATATATGTGGGACGTCCAGAAAGTAAGAATACAAGGGGACACAAGTAAGACACTGATGAATATGTTTTCCCAAAGTTGGTAACCATAACGTAGCCGGTTTTTAACAGTCACAATGAGACATCGAACTATTTGTTACCAAATGTCTCTGCTGCTTTCACGTCATCCAGCTCGTCGTCCGTTGTCTCCACGTACCGCAGATGTGAGATTCGCTGTCATTCGTTTCCTCAGGTTGCGCAGCAGTGACTATCGCCAGCTTGTGGAAACCTTCGGATCGGAGGTAATGAATCGTCACAATGTTACCAAATGAGTTAGTTTATTTAAAGAAGACCGTACCGACACCCACGACGAAGACAGTAGTGGGAGACCGTCTGTCATTTCAGAAAAGCTTGTGCAGCTGGTTGAAAAAAAAATTAACACAAACCGTGTAATGAAGCTAGTCTCCCTTATCAAAACCAAAGATTCTTTTTTTATCAACCTTGTGTTAACTGTTGTAACGTAATCACTCATTCTGTTTAAATAATTGGTGCATACAAACGTTACATGACAGGGAGTTTTACTTATTGTAAGTACTTTAGTTATAAATACATTTCAAAACGTTTTATTGAAGAATTATGATACAGCCTACACACTTCCTTTTCACTTCTGCTACATAGTGTAAATTAAAAAGGTGTATAAAATTGTGGTATTTTAACTATACTCTCATTGACATTGTATTAATGTCGAGATTATTATCATTCTGTGCCATAAGCTGAGAGGCATTTTAATTGTTTCTCGTAATTACATCCGGTGCTGTCATTTGTGTGTTTTTTCTCTGAATTGCAGTTGTTCAAATATCCAGTGTAATCCAAACATATTTACCACAATATGTCTTCATGTTTTGTTTCTGGAAAATGAAGTATTCTGATGAAGAGGAGGGAGATAGCACTCATTCTACGAATCAAAGAATACTTTTATTTTTATTTATTTTTATTTTAATTTAATTTTTATACACCAACTATTTAGTTGAACCAGTCCGGATGCCCGAGATCGTTAAGGCAGTAGTGCCGTAGCGATCTCGGTCCGAAGGATCGCGGATTTCACCCAGGGCATGGTTGTAATTGTGTTCGTTCTTTCACCCCCTATCATCACCATAGCAGGTCAACTTCACAGTTACCGTACCGTTAAATGCAATAGTGGTCGCTAATAACGTAGATGTTGATGCTACCTTAAATTTAAAAAAAGATAGTTGAAAGCCGTAAAAAAAGTAAATTTTATTTCCACACATCACATAACAGATACACATGTCTAAAACTATTATACAAGTAATACGAAATTTATTTACAGAGCATTGTCACATAAAGTATTTAAATAACTGAAGGGTTTGAAGAAATTTTCAATTTATTCCCATGTTTTCGTGTATAAATAGTGAAAAATATATTTTTATATTATGAAATATCCAAATACCAGAGCATAGGGAAAGGGAATAATTATAAAATCTTCTATTATCAAAGTCAAGTTTTAATCTGTAAAATACATCATTCTTCTCTTGAGTGACTTTTATAAAATATATACTAAGTTATGCAGCTATAAACTCACGAACCTTTACAATTAATATTCTTTTTTTTTTAAAGAAATGTGCTTCAAATTATTGAGACATAGAATGTGAGTTATACAAATACACGTCTTAAGAAATACTTGAAAATATGACTTGTTCAAACCCTTCAATCATTAATTTCTGATGAATCTAGTGCAGATTGCTTTAAAATTCCATGGCAATATTTCTGCTTTCCAGTTATCTTGTATGAAGAACAAACTGGAGAGACGTAAGGCAAGATGTAAGGCAGTAAGTACTTGCTGCAAAGAGCACTGAGGAACACAATATAGGAATTAGTCATGGCATGAAATATCTTTGTAAACTGCACTATTACATTGTTGCAGAAAAGCCATGAATATAAATCTAGAAAATTCTTGAGAATGGTAGGTTCAATTTTGTAAGACTTAAAGTATAATAAAATAATTTATGAAAAAAAATCAATCAGAAACAGGATTTTTCTGCAGTGTTAATTACTTAGTAATTTAAGACAAATAAAAATTAATGTTTTTTGTAGTTTAATAGCGAGTATTTTCATTGAAACAAGATGTGAATACATCTTAAAAGAATATCCTCTGATATAATCAGAAAAGTTAACCTTCCGTTGCTATCCTGGGTCTCCGGGACCAAGGGAGAAACTCTTTTTTAACTTTTCAGGGTTTCTTAATACCGTAAACTCTTCATATTTTCAGAAGCTTAATTGTTTTTGGAACTAAATCGTTCGTTCAGTTATTGCGTTTACTGAAACTTATTCCATGATATATTTAATTATCCTGATTTTTTGATGTTTCGTAGACCTACTGTTGCTTTGAGGTAAGTAAAAATACATGATCTTTGTGTTTGGAATTCTAATATAATTATGTTTATTACCTCTCTTTTCATCTAATTCAGTGATTAATAGTGCACCTAACACGTAATATTAAAAGAGGAAGGTGTAGCAAGATTATTTATCTTGTATTTTTGATTATTCTGTAGCTACAATAGACGAAAAGGAGCGTTTATAAAAGTTCTGAAATTATATAGAAGACAAATTAAAAATAATACAATAATAAAAACAATTAGGTTATTCATAAATTCATTGTAAATGATTAGAAAATGCAACCACATAAATTGTAATTTTGTAATAGTGTGTTGGAAAACACTTGGGTCTGATACCCCGACCTTGGGTCGGACGCACAGTAGTATCGCTGAAACATCTGTAAAGGGTAGCAATGGAAGGTTAATTAAATATATATTTCTTCTAAAAATTGTTTTGAGGTAGAAAATTCTTAGAATTTTATCAATGTAGTTTCTAAACAAAATTTTATAAAAAAAGATTCTTAATTCCAGAATATTGTTTGTTTCTGATTTGCTGAATTTTCTATTTATTTTTTAATGAATTTTCTACAGGATTAACAGTTCAATTTCAAGGTAATTTAATGTGTATTACCGTTTGTATATAAGTTTATATAAGTTATATAAGTTTATGCAAAACTTTTATTGGGACATTTACTAAGAAAAGTATTGATGGTGTCATTTGTGATTTCATTGCCCTTCATAGTTCCTATTTGCAGCCCTATTTCTGTTTTCAAAATTTCATTGCATTAGGAGTAAGATGGAGATTTAGTCTACCACCCTTAATGTCACCTTTGAACATCAGTCTATAAAGTAATTAATATAACACGCTTTTCTAAAAAAAAATTTATAAGTTGAAGTACCCAAAACGGGTATAAGTAAGGATTTAAATGCTAAAGAGCCGTATTGAAGATAGAAAGTTATTGTAAAGCCGATGCTTGGAAGGAAGGTGCCTGTATCATCGTGTTATGAGGCCACAGATTTCAAGAACACTGCATCTTTTCTCAAAGAATAAGGATCATAAACCATGGCTTAATTTATAACTGCTTATATCATTCTAAAAGACTTATCATACACGATTTCCGAGGGAACGACATTCGATTTTGAGATTATTGCAAACGGTAAATGATTCTTGGAATGTTAATGAAGGGAGATGGGCAGACCAGCGTTCTCTTGAAGTCTGTGGAAAATTCCAATGAACGCATGTCACCCAGGTAAGGGTTCTTTTTATACTTTCATCTAATGGGCTGTTGACTACTAGAGAAGCTGTTACCGTCATTTACGAAACTTTTCAGTGGGTGAATAATTGTATATTTGTGTCTCGAATACCAATGGCGCGTTCGGCGTCGTGTTATGGCCAGTCTTAAAGAATTAAGCAAATACTCCACGGAATCTTCCATCTTGTAATACTACTACAGGCTACGTTAGCAAAGAAGCTCAGAAGCGGAATTTCAATCGTTAACTGTAACGCCGAATTAATCACATTAATCGAGCTGACGTGTCGATTATATTAAAGCATTTATTGTAAATCGAAATCTTATCACAATAAGAATATCATCGTATTCTGTGACATAACATGCATTTTCCACGG